GTGCGTCTACATGAGACATTACGTTGCCATACCAACAAGCTATGGTGACGTAGCTCACGGTCCTAGGAGCCGTGGTAGGGGGAGATGAGTCATTGAGGGGAATGGGGTGGGGGAAGGCTAATTGGAAGAACATTTGGGAGAGAGGGCTGGAAGTGGCTAGAGAATGAGACTGAAATTAGGAATCAGAGGAATAGAGGAAGTGGTAAAAGCTGGAAAGGAGCTCTGGTAAGACCCCAGAGCTTGGAAAGACAACTTGGACTGGCTGGGCAAAGAGACTGTATCAGGAAGGCAGGGAGTTGATGAGAAGACTGAAATTGGATGGGAAGCACAGGCTGGGCGACAGTAGAGAAGGGAGAGATTGGATGGGATTAGCTAGAAAAATTGTGGGAGAGGGGAAAGACATGGAAATTCTGGAACTTGGACAGTGACCCTATAGCAAAAGTCTAGGAATACCTAGGCAAGAAAGTGGAATTGGGATGGGATAGGAAAATAGAGGATTGGATAGTGAAACTGGATAACAAGGAGAATGGAACTGGAATGAGGCAAAGGGGAAGCAGGAGGTGGCAGCAATGGAATGGATAGAAGCGGGGGCAAGGCCAGCAGACTGGCCTTCCCCTCGCCCCCCCCCCCTCGCCCCCCCCCCCCCGCTCCCTGGAGATGGTGATGATAGAATGGAGGGGGGGCAAGGCCACCAGAGCTGGCCTCACCCCTCCCTCTTGCTCCTTGGAGGTACCAGCAGTGGCACCAACACAGTGGGCAGGAGCGGGGTCAGGATACTGCAGGGGGGTGAGGCTACCAGTGCTGGCCTCAGCCTGCCCCTTCCCTCTTCCATTGTTGCTGCCTGCTGGCTTGCCGTGGCGGCGGGGAAGCAAGGAGCAGGCTTACACATGTTCCCCCTTCTGTCTCCCCCTGCTGCCATGGCGGGGAACAGGGAAGCAGTCCCAGACCCCAAATGGAAGAGGGGGAGCGGGCCTGGGCCCAGCACAGGGGAGTGGGAGGAGGAGGGGGCCCACCACAGAGGGTGGGCAGAAGCAGGCCTGGGTCAATGCAGCAGCAGTGGGGGGAGGGGAGGTGTGGGCCCAGGCTGGAGTCTGATATGGGGGGTGTGGGGAAGGATTGGGCCCAAGGCAGGGTGGAGAAGTTGCTCCCCCGCCCACCACTACAGCAGTGGCAGCAGGGAAAGGGGAGGAGTGGGCACAGGCCTGACACGGGGGAGGAGGAGAACCGAGCCTGAGTCGGAGGAGAACCGGGTCCGCCGTGGAGGGGGAGCAGCGGGCCTGGCCTGATATGGCAGCAGCGGTAGGGGAAGGGGAGGAGTGGGCCTGGGCTTGAGGAGACCGGAGCCCGAGCCCCCGCCCCCCCCTGCTCCCCCCGCCCCCGTCATTCTTGACAGGCAATTGGCTAGTATTTATATAAAGGTCAATTGGTTGGTTAGTTTCAGTTTTACAGATGTGTGGTTTGTATGCATGTGTATATAATATACTAGGGCTGTGGGAAACAGCACTGTTTCGTTTCGACTTCTGTTGTGCCGTTTCGATGGGCAGTGTTTTGGTTCAAGTTTTGTTTCATTTCATTTCAAAGCACTGTTCCATTTTATTTCGTTGAAACTCCTCTATTTTGGCGCTGTTTTGACATTTCACCCATAGGCTATAATGGGGAAGCACAAAACAGCCTATAACATTGTCATTTCTTGCCTGATTTGGATGAAAATTCCAGGAATGGTAGCCCTGTCTGAGGCCATGAAGTCTGTCAAGTTTCAAGGAGATAGGTGCAGGGGTTTCTGGGGAACTGCACCTCAAGCTGCTGGCAAGCAAAACTTGTGACGTGTGTGTGTGTGTGTGTGTGTGTGTATGTGTGTGTGTGATGGCACAGTTGTTTTTCCATCCCTCTACCAGAGCACTGGGATTGGAAGGGACCTCAGGGAAGGATCACAGTCACTGGCCAGCTACACACGTCAATATCAGAGCAGTTTTTTCCCCTCTTCCCCCTCCTTCTCCTTACTTTCTGTTTCCCTGCAAGTAAGCCCAGCTTCGAAACTCGAAACATTTTGAAACTTTCTAAATGTTTCAAGTGCCCTCATTTTGTCTCGATGCTGTTTTGAAGCCTTTTGTTTCATTTTGATTTCACTGTTTCAAGCTCGAAACGAGTCGAAACAGCGTCAAAACAAAACACCCAGTGAACTTTCTCACAGCCCTAGTATATACTCTATATTGCTTAGTATACAGGTGAAGGAAATGTGTCTTTGCACTTTGAGCCAAATGTTTTGTGGACACCTTACCCTTCATGACCATTCCAGTAACAGCTGCACAATATCCCTGTGGAAACCACAGCAATTGCTTACCTGTAAAACTAATAATAGGGAAGTATTGCATATATATTTCAGCTTTCTTTAATGTGTTGTAGTGGCTGGATACAAAATAGAATGCAGGGCTATGTGACCAGGCCATTTTGAGAACAACTTATAAATTGGAATTAAAATAGCTCCATGCTATTAATATATTGCTCAAGTAAATGAATATATATTTATTGCAATCTGTAGAATTCGTGGATTTTCATATCATGGATTAACTATTCAGAGTGATTAGCAGGAAAATTAATGTGTACTAATTAGCCTTAAGGGAGTAAGAAATTAACTTGATGGCTAAATTTTACATTTTACTACATACCACAGTGAGCAACACAGGACATTTTTAATTAAAGCTTTAGTAAAGTTTTCTTCTGACATACTGGACGCTATTTTCTCTAATTAAATTTAAAGACTGTAGGAAATTTAATACATCCTTGACATATGGGTAAGTCTTTATATGGGCTTGCATTGTAGAATAGTTGTTCAAAGTATACGTTGAAATGACAGCCACTCAGTGTACATTTATAAATTAAATGTAAAACAAAGCAATAAAGGCATTCACAGTCATATCAAAGTGCAGTATATCCATAAAAGCTTTTAGCAAACTCTTACATATTTCTGTATTTGTCTATCTAGTGTATATTTGCATTATAGACTATACAATCCAATTAGCTGAGTCAGGCAGTTTATGATATTTTTAAAACTAATGCATAGAGTATAATCTGTTTTTACAGAACTGCTTACGTGCAAAACCTCATAGTTTTAATTCCCAACCTTTATTCACAAATAGACTCATATTCATGTGCAAGAAAAACTCCTATGGAAGCAATTTTTAAAAATAATTAGCTTACATCAGACAGGTAAGAGGCATGAACTCAGTAGGCTGAGCAGAGAAGAAAAAGCAATGGACTAACGAGTTCTAATCTTGGCTAACATAATTGATTTCTTTGTTGCCTTCCATTTATCTGTCTTGTTTTCTCCCTCTGTAATATGGAGAGAGATTTTACTTACCTACCACTCATGGGTGTTGTGGATTAATTAACATTTGCAAAGAATTTTTCAGATAAAAATCAACATCCTATAACCTCAAATTATTAATGAGCAACTCTAAAAATACAGTGTTGGTCTATTGTAAATGAAAATGTTGTCTTGATGTACTAGCCTGCTGATGCTAGCCAAATTTACTTGCAGAAATGGAATAGGAAAACATCACTTGCCTATAAATTTTTTCTCTTTTATGTCCAAATGGTGCTAATAGTTAATGCAAATAGCAACGTCCTCAGAGGTTCAGTACTATATAATTTAGACTAAATTCTGCAGTCTGTATTTAAAACTGCTAATGATTTCAATGACTAATGATTTCCCTAAGTAAGCACTTTGGGATTTGAACCTTGGAGTCCATTCTTTGGGATTTAAGAAACTCATGCAGGCTGGTGTGTCAGTTTAATCTTTTTTATATCAGGCCCATCTTCATGGTATTTGAGTGACTATTCATTGGGTGCTGACAGAAGTGACTGTTTGTCATGTAAATCGGGCCCCTGAAGCACTCTGCAGCCATGCACTAACAGAGGCGCACAGCTGCTGAACACTGAGTATGCCCAATCATGTGACAGTCTGAACCCTTATTACATTTGAGGGTTCAAAGGAAGCACTCCAAACCAGAGTGCCTTCATTAATGTCTGTCAGCATCCATCAGCCCAGGCCAGTCCTGCCCCTAGGGCTGTCTTCAGAATAGAGGGAGAGAAAGGAGGAGAGGTTTTTCCATCTGGGGTCTGCCCAGCTTGCACTACACTGGGATGGGTGGATTGGAGCCCCCCACAAGGGGCACAGCCTAGACTAAAATCCCTCCACTCCCTCCCCCCACTTCCATTCTGAAGACCCTATTAGACCTGGGAAGGGGGAGCGGTGGGGCTAGGGCAGAGCAGACATGCAGCTGCTGCAAACTGGAGCTCTATCACCCAACCCCCTGGACCCAACAGCCAATGTGTTGGATTTAGGGGAATGCTGTAACTCAAGGCATTCGAGTTACAGCAGGGAGTTGCACATCTGTCAGCATCCATTGTTTTTAGCTCAAATAAGCAACTTCAGCTGAGTTAGATGGGCTCTGATGTTGTCACCCATGAGGCTTTATATATTGTTGCCTATTGTCAGGCCATTTTTCCATCTTCATTATTTTAATTGTTCTGCAATAGCCTTCTCTCCATTCAGCCTGTATCACATCTGCAGAGTGCGTTCATTCTGTCTTTGTATGTAAGCATATTTTTTTATGAACACAAACACAGCCCCACTTGTATATGCACATTTATTTAAGGATAACATCCAACTTTTAATCAATATTTACATAATATGGTTTCTTTGTAATAATAACTTTAGAGCATCTACAATAACCTTCAAACCTTCATAAATGGAGAAGATTCTTTACCAACAGTAAAACAAAAACAAAAAAACCCTACTGAATTCACTGATTTCAGTGGGAATGGGAGTGATGCCTACTTATAGAGCAACCAGAGAATATGTATTATGTTCTTTGAATAAAAGTTTGCTTCAATGATTTCATTTTATTTCAAGTTATTCATGTTATATTAATACTTAATATAAGAAATGGTTTAAGATTTAATAACAGAGAGAATTCTGCTTTATATTTTCCTTACAGCAATTGGAAGGACTCTCATTCCTCGTTACTTTAGCACTGTCTTTGAAGGAGGTGTAACAGACCTGTATTACATTCTCAAGCACTCAAAAGAGTCCTACCACAACTCTTCTATCACAGTGGACTGTGATCAATGCACCATGGTCACTCAGCATGGAAAACCTATGTTTACCAAGGTAACAGGGAAAACTTGTTGGTTGTTTTGCTTGGTTTTTTTTTCAGTGTGTACTGAAGGATAATAACTATGGGGTTTTTTTTCCTGCAAGATTGACTTTATTTCTGAAGTGTCGGGCATTTGCTGCTCTTTAATAATTTGTTATATTCCTTCATTTTATATTCATTATATTTGAAAGTTTTGTGGGCACTCTTTCAAGTCTTTCTAGGGAGCTTGGAAGAGAAGGCGCATAAAACTAAGCCACAAGAGCTACCCAACTTATGGGAACTGTGATTCAGTGGCCTGTCTACCTTTTTCTCATGTTTTTTAAACCACAGTGAATGCTCACATTATTAGTACATAACATTTCGGTTGATATTCTCACTTGATCTATGAAGAGTCCAATCCAAAGTGCATTGACATGTGTAGAAGGATTCACACTGTTGTTCCTTTGGATTAGGCCTTTTTTAGGTATCCACCGCTTCTGATTCTACAGTGAATTTTCTTCATGCTTTGGCCTCTTTTCAGTTTGTAGCTGATTCGTGTAATTAGGAAACTTACAAAAATAGAGACCAAGCAAGAAGAACAGCAGTTGGACATAACAGATGAAAATAAAATTCCTATGTACTTACATGATACACTTCAATGGAAAAATTACAATAAATTGTCATTATTTGGAGTAGAAACCAGTGTTTTGCTTTTAAATCAGGGGTCTTTATCAGAGCCTTAGGGAGCAGTTAAATTAATTCCCTGTTCCAATCTGGCCCATGCCTCAAGTGAAGATGGAGAGTAGGTGGAGGGTACAGAATGCCAAACTTGTAGTAGCCAAGGGTTTGAGAGAGTGTTAGGGTTTGATCATGTGAAACTTGTTCTAGCTGATTGCACTGACTCTTTGCCTGCCACACACACACACTTTTTCCAAAGTATTTGAAGGTCACTGGGGCTAGGGACAGACATTACACGTAAACCGGTTTAAGTGATCAGAAACTGGTATAAACCTGTAACAGAGCAGATGTTCAGTGGTTATAAACCAGGTTGAAAATGTCTGAAACTGCTTTGAGATAAACCTGGTTGAATGTAGCATCAGACTTAACTGATTTGGGTCAAACCGGTTTATGCAATGTCTGACCCAGACCCCTTCCGGTTTAAAATAAATTAGACTCCCCCAGCATCCCGGCATGCTCTCTGGGCTGGGCGGGGCTCTTTGCTCCACAGCAGGGCTGGCCCCTCCCCTCTCCTCCCTGGCTGGAGCTCTGGCAGGGACTGCAGGCTGCCTACCCTCCTCCCTCTCAATACTCCCCGCTAAGCAAGAATTCCCCCCTCCCCTCTGCCTTGTAGAGAGGTGTCTGTGTATTAGCTAGCAGACAACATGCTGGCTATGGTCCATGCTGAATCAGCAGGTAAAATCAACAGGAAGAATCAACAGGTAGCTAGTAATGTCCCTCTGTTGTTTTCGTAATGGGGTGATAAATATTGAGTTAAGGGTAATAAACACTGTTATCAATTCCTTGCTGGGTTAATTAGAGCATCCTGCTGGGGCCTGGCCATGCCTCCCCCTCAGGTCAGTGCTGTGCAAGGGAAGAGAGGGCTGCTTTAGTGCCCCCTGGCTTCTAGCCTGAGCCACTGCAGGTATGTGCCTGAATTTCTGGGATGTCTGTGCAGTTGCAAAGTGATTCAGCCTAGCCAGGTTAGATTAACCTGCAAAGATTGAATCAATTCAGTCTCAGGCTTTTTGAATATCTGTCCCTAGCCTGGGAGAGAGTTATTTGTGCACAGGACAGTAGTAACTTGCCGTGTCTGTATGCATGAGACATTTTCCCCCCTACCCTCCTCCTTGACAGGGCAAGGAGCTAAAATATTATTTCCCCTTTGCCCCTCTGTATGACTGCCAAACACATGTCTGAGTCATTCCTCCCCTTCATGGTGAACTTGGGCCAAAAGCTGAGCAACAGTTAGTTGGTTGACTGTAATACAGAGAGAAGCAAAACTTTGAAACCCTTAATTTGGAATCCCTGTTACCCAGTAAATAAGAAGCAGACTTTTACCAATTTAATTACTTTGTTTTCATTGTCAGCACAGTCTGTTATAGAGCTGTTTCTTCAGAGAGAAAAACAGCACCTAGCTGAAACAAAATCAGAGGTGGAACAGGACTGAAATCGAACCTAGGCTCAACACTTATGTTTAGAATCAAGTATTTGCAGGACCAGGGTATTAGTGACACTACACATGCCCCATAAGGAAGTCTATGTCGTGGGTTGTAATATAAACTCCCTATACTTAAATAGAAAGCTCACTCAGAGTATGTCTACACCAGACACTTTACTGTGCATTAGACTAATCTAATGTTCAGTAAAGCATCACTATCTACACATGTGCAGCAAGTACTGCACAGTATATTAGACTAATAGTCTGTTTTCTAGTACCTGTACAGGTACAGGTTTCCCTTCATTTATACTGTACATGCGTTCCTGGAGAATGGCGCATAAATCGAATTTGCATAAAGTCAACCCACTTTACAATGTAACAAATAAGGATAGGTTGAGGTAGTAAGGGAGGAAGAGGGAGTGAGGCTGGGACTAGCGAAGGGGCAAGGGGAGGGGTGCTGCTCCTAGGCTGCACAAGGCAGCAAAGCAGAGGGCACAGAGTGGCCCTGGGAGCGGCTGGTGCCAGCTGTGTGAAGCTGCTGGGCTGCACCGTGCTTTGCCTGTCCCCACTCACTTCTGCTCCTGGGCTGCACCATGCCCTGGTGCAGGAAGCTGGTGTCAGCTGCTCCCAGAGCTGCTGCAGATGGGGTGAATGCTGTGTCTCATGCCACCCATGGCTCTACTTGTCCGCATTCACCCCAGCCCATGCTGGAGCGGCCCCGGGAGCAGCCAACACCAGCTGCCTCCACCATGGCACAATGCAACTCAGGAGCTGGGGTGAACCCAGATGCGGGAGAACAGGCGGAGCATGGTGCAGCTCAGCAGCTGCAGGCAGCTGGCGCCAGCCACTCTTGGGGCCACTGCAGCCGGGCCTGGGGTGAGTGGGGCCACGGCCCTTTCTCCTCCCCCCACAGACTTACCTGCTTGGGCGGGGTGGGGAGGGAATGGACATCTATGCTGATCACATAAGAGCAAATTTACCTTGCATATAACAAATTATGGGTCTAAATATTCTCATTGCATAAGAGTGAATTCATATATAAAGAACCTGCATAAATCGAGGGAAACCTGTACTAGAAAAACAGTGCATTAACTAAGATGATGTACTGCACATGTGGATGCTAACTGGGAGCAAATTGTTCTTAGTCAGCCTAGGTAGCAGCGGGCCACAGGGGCCAGTGAGATGCTGCCTGTCAGCCACATAGAGATCTGGCTGCTGAGAAGCTACCTCCCAGCCATATGGAGATTGGGACCCCTCCTGATTTCCATGTGGCTGGCACAGCTCTCCCCCTGCCCTCTGGAGCTTAGGGCTAAGCCCCTGTGCCCCTTGCCAGTCAGGGGCTAGAACCCAGGGGAGCCCGGAACTCCTGCTGGTTGCTGCAGAGGGGCAGAGAATGACACATGTAGACATGCATAAGGGAGCACTTTAATGAGCCTGAATTATCTGCCCAGAAAATTCAGGTGCATTAATTGCACATGTAGACACATAGACAGAGATCCAAATTGGGCTTCTGAAAAAAATTTGAGATGCTTTGAATATTTGTAGATTGCAAACATGACTTTTCTTACAAAAATAACAATTGAAATAAGATATCTTGAGTATGTGGAACAAGGGAGGACAGAGGAGGAAATAATTTATCCCATTCTAAAATGAATGAGTGGCCTTCAAATGTGTATTCACGGCTTCCAGTGAAGTCACCACAAGAACATGGGCCCAGCATAATTACTCTGGGAAGAAATTTACCTTTGTGGCACGTATACACTGGATCAAATTCAAACCTCCTGTAACAGGTATCACTAAATGAAATTTAATTTGCTTATGCATAGTATATCAGATTTTGGCCTGCAAGGTTATTTCTTTTTTTCTTTCTTCAGTAAGTTCTTCATAAATGCTGACATACTAAACACACAGCACTTGTTTGACACGAGCTTTGATCTGATGAGCAATCCATAAGCTTAACATTCTCTAAGTAGTTTATAATACAATAAGCTCGAGCATTTGTTAATTTGTTAATTATTTAGCTTTGTTAATTTATTATGTCAAGAGTCCAGAGCTGTTCATTATGTTTTGGTTTTTTTTTTTACATTTTCCTTGTTAGGTCAACTTATTAGTTAGTATTAGGCAAATATGCGATAAACCATTTTCAAATTCTTGTATAAGCAATGTAACAGCGCAGAGTTAATACGTGTCTAAGCACATGAGTAGTTCAAATTGACTTTAGGGGAATAGGTACCTTAAAGGGAGGCACATGCTTACATATCTTGATTGATCAATGTGTAAATAAAAGCTGCATTTGAAAAGAAATCAAAGGAAAAAACAGATATCTTCTACATGGTTAAGGATATGACTGAAAACCTATAAAAAAAAGAAAATATGTGTTCAGGATTGACGGGTGCAATTGGTAGGAGTTTTGCTACTGACTTTTATGATAAGAAGATCAAGTTTCTGTCATCCAAGTCACCCAGGTTGATTCACCTTGATGTGTATTCCAGTTTGGGCTTTTTTTCCCCCACTCAAACAAAATCATTAAGGAGCGCTCTTACAGAATTTACCTAGGTTCTTATAATTTACTTACACTAAATTTTATACAGCAGTTGAATTGTTATTTTAGTGTTGATGCTTTTTGCTTTTCCTTGTAGCCTCACAAAATTAAAACTGTACTACCAGAAAATCATAATATGTGGGCATGGCTACATATGCCCCGATGTGCAGTTGATACTGCGCAGTCATTTAGTACTTGCTAAAGCAGTAGAGCTCCATGCTTTAGCAAGTACTGACTGCACAGTCCCAGCGGCACACGGGTCATTTTCAACCCTACTGCGCAGTAGCAGTGGCATCATGGGTACTGCCTACCGATGATGTAGCTCATCCCTATGGTGATGTAGCATCTCATGTAGATGCACCCTGAATGTACCTGTTGTTAGGCTGTATTTGTTCCCTGTGATTGAAAATGAACCAGTCATCTGTAGTGTACAAGGATAGCATGGAAACTAGCTTCATGATTTTTTTAAATGTTGCTGAATTTTTTGTTTTGTGCTTTCATATACTCATGAGATTATGTCTTGTGTAAAGGGACAGATCTGAGAAATGGTCATTAATAAAAGCTGAATAAGAAAAAAGGCTGCATTATTTTGGAAAAATCAATATTCTGTCCAATAGAAAGCAATATTGAGATTTTTTTCCTGGGTGCAAGTACCTGAATATCCTACAATTAATCAAAGCAACAAAAGAGTTAAATAGCTATTGGTTAGTTTGAGAAATGTTCTTTTTTAGTTTTCTTTTTCCTGGCCTAGTCTAGAGCAATCACGTGACAGACTGAATGCCTGCCAGCCTCTTTCTTGTTGATCCTCTGGAGACCATCTGTGCTGGGGGCATTGATTAGAGTGTGTCTGCTGGGATTACATCTTTTCTGTTGCCATGCCAACTAATCAGCTGATTTTGGTTACCACAGAAACAAAATGTCAGAGCTCACACTACGGTAACATGAATTCAGCACAACAGAAAATGTTTTCTTAATTGGAGACCCTTTTGATTTTGGATTCTATATGAAAGACAGCCTTTTTTTTTTTAAAGGCCAATTTAAAATAAGAACTATGTTAATTTTATTGACTAGAAGCAATGTATAAAGTTCTTCTGTACATGGAGAAATTAAATTCCTTTATAAGATGTGTAAATTTTTACTACTATGAGATGAGGTATGTCTTCCAGTTTTTCTGTAGTAATTTGTTTATGTCATTTAAAATAAATTCTGTTAAGAACTGTTTCTTTGAGTTTCATGGAAGACATATTTGTGAGCTATGAGATATTAGAAATTAGAAACACTAAATACATTAATGTAAAAGGGAAGAATCCTTGCCCTTAGAACAGTTATACCAAGAGGCTGGGGGATATAGGCAAGTGGGTGGATGGGTGTTTGCGCATGAAATGTTTAATCCTAGGGAAAGTGATGAGGAAATCAGAGTCAAACAGGGCAGTGAGTTCTGCATGTACACCATCAGCCATGCAAAGGAAACTGAAGGCATGAATGAGGTAGATCAACCAGGAGAGACAAGGACCTGTTGCAAGTTCCTTCTTGCTAGGCCTAAAACTTTTGAACATACAATGTGCCTGGTAACATGGCAAAAGGTAGTTTTGAACAGCATGCAAAAGCAGGTCAAACTATGAAGAGGCACAGTGCTGCCCTCAGAAGAGTAACTAACCAAAAAAGTTATGTGCTGTAAAACAAGCAACTATATAAATCTGAGTTTGGTGAACACATAGAGATACAAACAGACTAAAGAGAAATCTAGCATGCCAGGCTCTTAATTAAGGTAATATTTGATTACTGTTTCGGAAGAAAATCTGATTGTAATAGAAGTTTATGCAATTTAAGTGTCTGTTTTCTATATTGTTAGAACATTTCACTAATTACTGTCTGCATCTTTTTATTATGCACTGAACTGCAGGTTCTCTCTGTTGTACTAGCTTCTAACAGGAGTTATGAAACCAAATTCCTATACCATTTTTTTTTTAAGTCAGGAATAATGTATTACCAGCTCATCTAATACATACGGGACACATCTACACGTGCATTAATGTGAAGCAATAGACTCCAGAGCTTATTGCTTCTGAGTTTATTGCTCCTGGGCATGTTGTTTGAACGTGTGCCTGGGACCACAGCATGTTGAACCAGGTCAGAGCAGACCTGCCTGGCAGGGAGCCCTGTGGGTGAGCCTACCTGCCCAGGGATGCTTCTCCCTGGCTCAGTGTGCTACAGAGGGACTGGCTGGGGTATGGAAGTGATCCAATGTGGGGCTAGCTAGCAGGAAGCCCATGCAGTAAAGCACCTTTATGTCCCAGCCAGCTGGGGCAATGTCTACACATGCACTGCTGTGACGTAAAAACTCTGCAGCAAGATAGTACTTGTATTTATAAGTACTATCCTCCTGTGGAGTTAGTTTACTCCAGCATAATAGGGGTGCACATGTAGATGCATGACGTTTACTGAGGAACTAATTAGTCTACTTGGGTGCTTGTACACATGATGAAAATTGGCCTTTTTTGCTATTTAATTGCATCACACTGTACACGTGCAGGATTTTTTTATGATTTAAATGAGTTTGCTATGTTGCAAACTAAACCACATCTGCATGTAGTTTAGTTAGCACTGTAGCTATTTGTAACGTTGCAACCTTTGACAGCTTGTCTCCCAGCCTCAGGAGAGGCGCATTGAAGGCAGAAGCAGCGAGGGGCCCAATCCTTTTTGTTTTTCCATGGAGCCTGCCAGGGTCAAGCCAAGGGGTGAGCTGCCAGTGGGCGAAGCAGCTCCTGAGCTGCAGAGGTCCCCAGTCCTTCCTTCCATGGTGGTGGCACTCCGTGGGGCCACCTGGGTGGGCTGCTAGGGGACTGGTGCTGCCCCAGCTTGGGTTTAGGGAATAGTTGGATCGGGCTAGGTGCTGCCTGCAAGCTGGGGCAGCGCTCGCCCACTACCCACCTGCCTGGGTGGCCCCAGGGGGAACCGCCTCTGTGGAGAGAAGGTCCAGGGCCCCCTGCAGCTCAGGGCCTGCCGGCATCTCACCCCCCAGCTGTGAGAGAAGTGGGCAGGCTCAGTGGGGGTGAAAGGATCAGGTGCCTCACTGTTTTCATTTTTTTTTTTTTTTTTTGCTCAGCAGAGCCTGCCTATGCAAACTGCTGCCAGGCTGAGCTGCAGGGGGGCCTGGTTCTTCCCTCTGCAGTAGTGGTGCCCCCTGGGGCCACCCAGGTGGGGCGCTAGTTGGGATCAAGCTGGCCCAGTCTCAGGCAGCACCCGTGAGATCCAACTCTTCCCTGAGCCAACACGCTGGAAACCCACCGGGTGCTGCTCCTCACCCAGGTTTAAGAAAGAGTTGGATCCAGCAGGTGCTGCCTGTGAGCTGGGGCAGCACCCATGCAACTAGCACCCCATGTGGACAGCCCCAGAAGACACCACTGCCAGGGAGGGAAGGACCAGGTTCCCCTGCGGCTCACGGGCTGTGTGGCCCAGCAGCACCTCGCGCAGTCAGGCTCCACTGAGAAGAGAAAAAAAACTGCCCACCTCTCCCACGGCTGGGCGTCCAGCTGCCACCGGGCCCTGAGCTGCAGGGGGCCCCGGACCTTCACTTCAAGGTGGCAGCACCCCCCAGGTGACACCCACCCACTAGCAACCCACTCAGGCGGCCCCAAGGGGCACCACCGCCACAGAGGGAAGGACTGGGGATCCCACAGTTCAGGGGCCACTCAGCCAACTGGCAGCTTATCCCCTGGCTGTGGGAGATGTCGGCAGGCTCTGCAAAAAAAAAAAAAAAAAAAGGAAAAAAGGATTGGGCCCTTCATTGTAATGGTGATGGAAACCCCTAAATCACAATTAAAAATCCACCATTTCAATTTAGGGAACTAAACCCCTGTCACATGTACCAGTGGCCCTCTGCAGTAAATGCCTCATGTAGATGCAGCTACAGTGATTTTTTGGGGGGACACACTAGCCAAGGCACCATGCAAAGGAGCATGTTTATGCACCCTAATGAAGGCTAAATTTACAACATACTTGGATGCTTCATTCCCCACAGATAAGGTTTCAGGCAGTTCTTTGAAAGCCACCAACTTTCCCTCCTTTCCCCTGTAATGCTTTTATCCCTCCCTCTGTCTCTCTCTCTTCTTGTCTCTTCTCTTGTTCATTTCTGCATAAATCATGTGGTTCTGGGGATAGCTCACACACACAGGACAGCAAGATCAGGCAGCAGCCTACCTGCCTAAGATTTCTTTCTCTCTTCCCACAACACTTGACTCTGTTGCAAGGGTAGTCATGATTTAGCCCCAAGGAACATCCAGTGCACACACCACACACCATCACAAATCATTCTGGTTGGTATTAAATCCACCGGGGATGGGAAAAGGCAGTAGCTAGTTGATACAAAAGAAAGAAATGGGAGAATAAATACTGATGAAAAATAAAAAGCATAAAACACCATATTAAAAGGTAAGAGGATGGAAAAGGACAAAAAAATGGATTGGCAGCAGCTCTGCAGGGGCATGGTGTACTCTAACTGGATACAATGCAACGTTTATACCGAGTGGAGCGCTAGGGAGGATCAGACATAAAAATGGTTGGGACTGAGTGGTTCAGCGGTTTAACATCAAGAATGCGCAATTGCACCTCGGCCACCTATAGCGAAGGGTTTATTGTCATTAATTAGTAGTAGTGATTCAACAGGGAAACTGAAATGATGCAATAAATAATAATTAAAGCACACAATGCTATAAAGTCTACCATAATGAGTTACTGTCTCCACTGTAAAGATATTGAGTTACTTACACTCGTTCTTTTTTTCTGGAGAAGGGAAAACAATTAACCCAATGATGTTGAACCATATAATACTGATAATATTTTGGTATTTAGTTTAAATGAATGAAAATACCATCATTTGTTGGGGGTTGGGAGCAGGAACATTCCTGGAAGTTTTTATTTCTTCTGTTCACTTCTAGGTATGCACAGAAGGGCGTCTTATTTTGGAATTTACATTTGATGATCTAATGAGAATAAAAACATGGCACTTTACCATTAGACAGTACAGAGAATTAGTCCCACGCAGCATTCTAGCCATGCATGTAAGTAATCCTTTTTTTCACTTGACCTAATACAAACTGATAAGATTATGTTTTTAAAGAACTCTAGCAAATTTCACACCCAAGGCAATTAACTATAAATATTTTGTTTTGCCTACAACCACATTTATTTGCAAATCCTTTCATCACTCTCTATTGTTTCTCAGTGTTTCCCATAAGGCTATATTGTAACTGTTTTTTCTTATTATTTTAGATTTTCATTTCACTTTAACACATTTTTTCTTGAATCCTGTTTTGTCACTGTGGTTTGTATGGTAGGTTTTGGCTTCAAGTCATACTCTGCTGACATCTGTGGACTTTCCTCAATATTGCTGAAGGCTGGGTTTGGTCCTTCAGCAATTAAAATTGATCTTTATCCTCTCAGATATATAAAGTGAATATATATTTGGTAGAACCAAGTCCAAAACAAAACTTTGGGTCCCTCATCAAGATTTGATTTTTCACGTTTAGAGTCCTTGTTCTACAAAGGGATAAAACTACACATTATATTACTTATACATTGTGCAAGACTCAGTAGCAACATTACAATCTGAATTTTTAGCTTAGTTGCTTTTTTTAAATAAAATATTCAAGTGGAACATTAAAATCCCCAAAAATGCTCCAGCAGGTTGAAGTCCAAATATATTGTAGCATAATTGGCATCAATTGGAGAGAATAGAATACACTGATGAGAAACAAATGCTAATAATAGTTTCAGTTCAGAACTTTCTGGGTGCTGACCACTATACAACCATAGAAATCAGTGGAGCTCCATGCAGGTCCAACAGTCCACTTGCACAAAATGAATTGCAAGGTGAGGGCCAAATGGATTTAAGGCACCAAGGTACATAAGCATCAGCAGATGCAGGTAAGTGCTGAGTGAATTTTTTAAAAACACTTAAACGTTACATTTGCTTTAAAAAACACCACTAGATGCCTGCCTGCATCTTTGGGTACCTAAATAACTTTAAAATCTGCCCCACAAATCCCTGAGGACCTTTCAGCCTATGAACCTCATCTAGCAAAAATGCCAGTGCAGACTCGCCATCAGTGAAGCAGAGTTTTCAGGATAGGTTAGTCACTTAAAGCAAGATTGTGAAGCTCATTGAGTTGGCCAATCAGCTCCAGACCACGCAGCTTCTCACAGCTGCTGCTAGAGCTGCTCTGTCAGCATGGCCTGTATGCAGGGGTTAATGACACCAGTGCTTGTTAACCAGCTGCTGATTTACCTCCCCAGTGGGGATCACAAACTGGAAAGCTGGTTGAGTGGCGGTGGCATTAACCTCATGGATGTTGGCCCCACTAACACAACAACTTTGGCAGGAGTTCTGAGAAGCTCTGCAGGCCAGTCAACCCAACCCTGCAGACCAGATCTGGGCAATGGCCATATGGTTCACACCTCTGAATTCAAGCAAGATTTATGCATTTTGATAAATGACAGAAGTCTTACAACCTGGTCAGCCAAAGGCCATGTACAGACATTCGGGGAACAGACAGAAGTGACAATTTTCACCAGATCTGGCCACAGAAAGCAGTTTATGGCTGTGACCAAACACAAGTACACAGCTTCAGACAGCTTCAAAAATGACTGATTGGATGAAAATCTGAATGCTCATTGTGTGAGGGGTCAGATGAAGATATTTCACAACAGAGCATCTTCTGTAAGTTCTGTCTGCGCTGGGGGGGGATGGAAAAGGAAAGGAAGAAGTTTGGTCTGGGGGGATTTCAGCACCTGCTGGAGGGTGCAGTTGGGTGTATTGGAGCCCCTCTGAGGTGTGGGGGCTCCAGTACATCCACATCACACTCCAGCACTGAGTAGGGAACCCCTAGAATGAGCTACTTCTCCTCCTTCCCCCCCCTCCCATTCTGAAACAGTGATAATCTGGGAGAGAGAAGGGGCCATTGCCAGGGGAAACCGGCTGCAGGCTTGCCACCACCAGCTAGATTCCTTTCCCCCCTGGAAACAGGAGTGAACTTCTGTTTGATCCAGGGGGTCGTTGTAACTCAGAACGCCTCCTGCTAAGTGTTCTCAGTTACAGTGGGGAGCTGCACTTCTGTCTTCCCCCTTGGTTTCTTTTGGGAGAATCACTAAATTAAACCACAAGTGCACAGATGTTCGGGGCTTTTCTCTCAAAGCAAAAATGGCCACTCCAGGAAAACAAAAACTCAGTACAGCCAGGGTTAAATCACTCCTAGGAGAGTTTCTTCTGGAAGAGTGAATGTCTATACATGTTCTCTTCCGAGAGAAGCTATAGTAGAGTCTTCCAGCATCCCAGGATGTCCCTCCTCCCCAGGAGGCAGTGTGTTGTTCACTGAACTCTGCTGCTCCAGTGATCAGGGAAGGGAACATACCTCCTTCATAGTCCCCACATTATGGTACAGGGAGACACAGACAGTCTGGGTAGTCAGTCAGGACTGTCCTGTCCATTCCTGATTTTGTCTACAAGCCAACTGATGGAGTCTGCAGAGCACACTGAGTTGTGTTCACGGAGTCTCCCTGGCTGCATAGTATCAGCAGTGCAAGCTCTCTGCTCTTCAGGGTCTTTGCATTCAAATGCTTGTTCAGGCATCTCCAGGTAAGTTTTTCTACCAGGAAAACAAACCTGGGAGAATTCTCCCAGATTACTTGAATGTGTGTATGCAGACAAAATCAGCATGTATTGTTTTTAAGAACTGGGTGTGTTCCAGGATTATGCTTGTTTAAAGTGATTTTAAGGCAGAAGGACGGTGTCATGGTAAAGCCCTGGGCTGGGTCTCAGGTGTTAGCAGTTCAGTTTTTGATTCTGTCACTGACTTACCCCATGACTTTGGGAAAATATCTTAGCCCCACAGTTCAGCAAGGTACTTCAGCCTATGCTTATGTTCAATCACATGAATTAAAACATGGAAATACTGAAATACTTTTTACCGGGGGGTGGTGCTAATCTGTTTTCTTTTATCCTTCATCTTCCTCATCTGTGTGGACCCCCTATCTGGATGTGATGGCTCTCATGCAGTCTGCTGCTCTAAAAGGAGCTCCTTTTACTTCAGTTGGTTTTTACACAGGCACACTAGTCTGGCCATATGCTATCTACTAGAAGATCAGGGTCTCAGAAGACCCTGAGATGAGATGGAGAAGAAAGTGTTTTGTAAAAACCAACAGAAATGAACTTTATACCACAGCAAATTAGTGTTACTTAATATTTTCCAGTTTCATCTGAGGACCTCAGCAGTGCTTTTATTTATTCTGCTTTTAAATTTGGCCTTAAAATGTGCATTTCTCACAAGAGTGACTGCCCCCCTCAAAAACAAAACAGAAACAAAAACAAATACAAATTAAAAAGCAAGTGCAAATTTCCTTTTTCTTCCCTGCTTAGGCACAAGACCCTCAGGTGCTGGAGCAGCTGTCCAAAAACATCACCCGAATGGGTCTGACAAACTTCACCCTCAACTACCTCAGGGTAAGCGATACTATACGTGGGGACTATTGAGAGTAGTGTTTTAAAAGGTTACAATCATCTTTGAGGCAGCCAAAGTAACAAAAATAGAGCATGAGCTTATCAGTGTTTGTAATTAAGAAAACAAAGAAACAAATAGTGATGCCCTATTAAATGGAATAGGAGTTTTGTCATTAGTTTGCAGGAAATCAGGATGAGCTCCCTTGCTTTTCATGGACTTTTTTAACTTCGGATAATTTGACTGGATTTGTTGCCTGTAAGCTAGAAATACTTCATCCTCTCTTGCTAACATTTCAGATTTTCTTCCTTTCTCCAGTTCACGTTTTTGAGTCAATTACAGCAAGTTCTTACCACCATCCACTAGTTTCATCTTCTTTTCCCCCTCTCTCAGTAAAATCCAGCACTGGGAGGAAGGAAAGTTTTGGCTATGAAGGCAACAGTACCCTGCAAGCATCCATCCTGCTTTTTACCCCTGAGAGCATGAGTTGTTTCTTCAGCTTTGCATTAAATAGACTGTAATTTTTATGATTAAATATGCATTTGTTCCCATTGCTTTTTGACCCTTGAAGTACATTCAAAGTTTAGAAGTTTATTTTTATTTTCTGAAAGTATTCTTCAGAAATAATTCATCCTTGTGTGGATGTACGGTGCACATACTGAAATGTGAGTCTGGACAGTTCATATTTTGTAGTTAGCATGCAATATTTTTATTTCTAGACAGAGGGTTAAGCAAATAATGTGCATTGTTAGGTAATTGTCCTTCAAATCTGGCCATAATAACTGTTTCTTTTATTTTAATTATAAAAATAATTACTCAAAATGGATTTAAGATGATAAGACTATTCAAGAAGATACCAAATGTTTTCAGCTCAGTGCAGAGCTAGACAGAATAATAGTTATATCAGTTGCATTTCTCTATGGCTGTGATGCTGTGAGATATGGACAGATCCCTTCAGTGAAGCAAAATGCAGTTAAAGTCAATATTGTTCTTGTCCAATCAGGGACAACCTGCTCTCCTGCTAGACTAGTTGGACATTGTTCAGTGTTGCTTCACATAGGTTTAAAAACATTAGGTTACCTTTTTCTATCAGTTATATAGGAGAGGTCTACCCCAATATAACCAAGAGCTGTATGTAGTATAAAATCTGACTGAAATAAGATATCATACTGGAGTTTTTGCAGGGGCCAATTCTTGATTGTTGTGACTGTGCAAGCTCAAAATATTCAGAGTGCCATTTTGAATCTAAAACATTGTATCAACTGCCAACACCTTTGGGATTCTTCTTTGCATATTCTATAACTGGTGCATGTGCAAATGCAAATGAAATAAGAAGGCTCTCTGTTAGGACACAGTTGGCATGATGGAAATAATGTAGCAGGATAAAAACTATACCCAGAAAAGGAAACTGAGATTGAAATAACCATTGAAGGGGCTGCTCAAAGAGGTAGTAGGGGATAAAAAAATGGAAATATTTCCTCCCCCTCCCCACCCCCTAAAATCTTCCTTTCATAATGGTCTTATTTTATTAGCTTAACAGACAACTTTAGGTCTCTGGATGGAAAGCTTTCTCCAGCTCCTGCTGTGGGATTCCAAAAGGAAATCATCTTATGCAAGACACTCCTTGCTTCTTTCTACCTTGTAGTGAATTGATCATTCTGCTCTTTTCAGCTGTACAGCTCATCATGGGAGCTCACATTAGGCGATACACTTCCAGTTTGATTTACGTTTTTCCCAATCACTTTCTTGTGTTAATTTTGAAATGAAAATCCCTTTTTAGAAGTGGTGCATTGAAAAAAGAAATCTGTTACATGTGGCTTTGTTTAAGTTTTTAGAAGTCAGCGTTTTATGTGATTTTTATTTCAACCTTTCTGGTGGTTAATAATTAGTATTGTTACATGATTTTAAATAAGCTTTTAAAATTAAACATATAAATTAATTCCATTTTTCTTCTGCTGCACATAGCAAAGGCTTGTGATAATCATAAGCAAAAACTTAGCTGATGGGCAGAATTAATCATTTCTACTCTCCTAAGTGCACACAGCAGTGAGCTGTGCTGCAGTGTATTTAAAAGCAGAATTTAAACCTTGGTTTTGGATGATGCAGATATAAATTTGTAGTCTGTATATTGTCCTCTTCAGACACCACAGTAGAGTAAATCATTACTATTTAGGATAATTACAGATGCTGATGTGTAAACCTTCATTCCAGAGTGATAAATGCCCCTAGGACTAAATGTGTACTCTATATTGTCTTCATTTATTTTGACGTGGTGGAAATGAAGCTGTCTTGCTTAGAGGAATATTAATTTCATAAATAACTTAAAAAAAATTAAAAATAGATTTGCTTGAAACCTGGAAAGAAATTTTGCTCCCCTTTTACTTTTTCCCTATTCCTCTTGGCAAATGTGCTCTCTCTGCCTACACCCTAGAAAGAACATAGGTTCTTTTTCTCTCCATTTCTGCTTTGTTTTGTACTGGCATAATTGATTACCTCATCAATGAGGTCACATGCCTTGCTGTGCATCTTGAATATCATAGTTTTGGTTGCAGGGGGTCCACTGAGAAATAATGAGCAAAATCGTGAGGATTTAAAATATCAAACATTTTTTCTTTAGTATCTCAGCAAATGGTGGATATTGTGAAATATCAGATAGGATAGCTATGAACTGTTGCCTATCCTCTGTCAGCACATCTCTTAGGAACTAATGAAAATCCTATACAGAGATTGAGGATGGATATGACACTCCATGAACAGTTCCCATCAGATCATAAGAATTTTAGGTGACTAAAGCATTAGACCCAAATTCTTTTGTATGTCATTTGTTATCTACTCAGCTGTTTCCTTTGGTGTAAATGCTGATACGTCTAATTTCCAATAGAGTTGAACCTTTGCATTTTAGACCTCAAAATCCTTTCTGTCCTCTGATGGAAAATGTCATATGCTATAAAAACAAAGCCACATTTTACATACACTTTAAGTTTAAAGAAATGTTGATCTTGCACAGTAATTAGGGCTAAACTATTCCTTTAGGCACAGCTCTGTGCGGCTCAGGAGAAGCTCACAGTTCTTCCTGTGTTCTTCGCTTACTGGGAGAGGATGGGGTTATTTGCTATAGCATGTTGCTAGGTGTGGATATACAAGCTCAGCTCAATAACCATTATGTTAGAGTACAATAGAGGTTCTATTCACAGACACCTCTCTTTTCTCCTGCAGATGAAGAACTAACCTTTTAGAGCCTGCCCCTTCCACCCACTATCTGGAGCAGTGTTTTCTACAGGGAAATAAGAACTATTTAAATTGCCTGCACACTGTGTGTGTGGGTGTGTACATGTGGGTGTATGTGTGTGGGTGTGTGTATTATGCATGTAAAATGCACAAATTGCTACTTTTTACTGTGCAAATAAGGAGTTTACATGTATAAATATGGGTTTCATACACGCTCTCACTATGAGCACAAATTATTTTGGAGATCAATTTTGTAGCCCTAGTAATTGTCTATGGCAGGATCAAGTCAGCATTTTGCAACTCTGTGTGTTGCATGTATAATGGGGGCTGCAGTGGCCCAGGCACAAAGGTGCACTTTTGACATCCCAGAGGTAGTAAGTTTGAGGCCATAGCAGAAGTGCTCACGGCATGGCCCTGTCAGATTCCAGTGAATCTGCAAATTCTGCTAAATAATTGTCACAAGGGCATGGAGAGAAAAGTGTGCATAATTATATCAATAAAAAAACCCCAAGGTTTCAGAATATAAGAAATACCAGACACAGGGTTGTCCATGCAACCTTAATTCAGGCCCTATATGAACCTGCATTATGAAACATGCTCTGGGTGCTTAATTACAACAGCTCTTGGAGCCACTCTAATTAAAGCGCCCCCTCCTACCCGCACTGCATACTCCTGGAGCAAGTGTATAAATGCCCCTTGCTCTTTAGTTAATGTGCATTAAGACAAGCTAATGCACAGTTTCCTAGTACCTCACAATGGAGGTACTAGATTTAATTGTGCATTAACTAAAGCACCTTAATGCACGTATAGATGCACCCACAGCTGCTTTCGTGCAGGTTTTGTCACTTATGAACAGTTTGTGACTCAGCTCTGCCCACATAAGCCCACACATGTTCAGTAGGCCATTGCCACAGTCAGGCAGCAGTCCTGTGAAACAGAGTCACCTGCGTACATGCATATGGTCAATTAGATCCTGAAATTTTAGTCACAGTAACAGTCACAGAAAATCCAATATTATAAGCCAGAGGACAAGGAAAACAAATTTAGCTCAAATACCTAGTGATTAGGGCACTTTCTTAGGTAAAGTGAGCCCCAAATTTTAAGCCCCCATAGCATCCTATTTCCCAGAGAAGTTCTCTAATCACTGGGCTTGTGGGCCTGTCCACACTCCTCTCTTACCCTTTTCTCTAACCTGGCTCATAGGATAATCAAGTAAGGAACATATGTGAAGCCAGGAAGAAAAGTTCAGGGAAGGAGTGTGGTTCAGTGAGACAGATACTGCCCTGAAAGGGAATAGGCTCTAGCTTGGGACCCTGTTCCCAAAAGGGCAATTTTTTCCAAGTGCTTTTTATCCAATGAATATTAAAGGAAAAGTGCAATGGGTCAGCTTCAATGGGAGGGTCAGAGAATACTCTAGCAATGCCTTGCCCATGGCTTGGTGGTTATAGCACTTTGCTAGAAAGCAGGAAATGCAGTTATAAACTTTCTCTGAATAAGGAGGACCTACAAATTGTCCACTTGCCTCAGCAGTTATCCTAATCACTAGACTAGGCTAAAATGTTGGAGGGCTTTCTTTCTTTTCCATTATATTTCTGGCAGCTATATACATGGATGGATTCTGTTTCTCTACAGGAGTCTATCAAATCTCCAGCTGTGTGTAAGCACCAAAAACTCATTTACGTGGCATGCATATTCTATTTAAACGTAAAAGGTGAAATAGGATTTAGGACATAGTGGGCATGTCAACATGTTCAGTTAATGTGACTGAATGTATTCT